CGTTGGTGTAGTGGTGGAAAGATCATCTTGATGAAGCACGGTCACAATATGCCCATATTTGTCAATGGGGAGGACACTCAAGATTTTTCTTACAACATCGGATGGTTGCATTTTAGTGAGTCCAAGCCCATTGACTTTCTCTACAAGAACATTCAAGCATGAGTACATTTCATTAGCACTCTCTTTGGGAAGCATCTCAAATGAATTTAGCTTTTTTATAACAAGATGATATCGTTCCTCACGCTCGCTCTTAGTTCCCTTATGGAGCCCATAAATGTCCGACCATAGTGCATGGGCGTCTTTGTGGTTCCTCACCCGGTTGAACACATCTTTGCAAAGGCCTTTAAATATGGTGTTTCGAGCCTTTGCATTCCATTTCTCGTAATTCACCTCATCGCCTTGTAGGTATGTGGCATCCCGAGGTTTTGGGAAGCCTTGTGAGGCGGCTCTAAGTATTCCAACATCTAGAGCTTCTAAATACGCCTCCATGCGGATTTTTCCAATAAGGAAAATCATCCTCCTCAAAGATAGGAGGAGGTCCATCCCCGTGAGACATCTTTCTCTAGGTGGTTAAGCCTAAATACGTGAGCATGAGGCTCTGATACCAATTAAAATGATCAAGGTGTCCAAGAGGGGAGGGGGTTAATTGGGCTAATTCTAAATTTCTTTGCAATAATTAAACCCTACGGTTATCCCAATTAACCCTTTGTGCCTAGGAAGTGTTTCTAATGTTCTACCACACAAAAAGTCTTGCAATCTAAGTTCCAATCCTACTCCAGCATGGTACTTCTATGAATGTAAAGACAAGAATTGAATTGCTCAAAGTAAATGTTCAAAGTAAAGAGAGAAGGAGGAACGCGGTGATGTTTTGTCGAGGTATCGGAGAGTCGCCACTCCCTACTAGTCCTCGTTGGAGCACCCGTGCAAGGGTGTAGCTCCCCTTGATCCGCGCAAGGATCAAGTGCTCTCTACGGGTTGATTCTTTGACACTTCGTCGTGGTGAATCACCCATAACCGCTCATAACTTGAGTTGGGTCATCCACAAGCTCCACCGGATGATCATCAAGCACCCAATCACCACCAAGGGGTCTAGGTGATGGCGATCACCAAGAGTAATAAGCACGAACTCTGACTTGACCATGACAAGCATAATGAGAAGGGTAGATGCACACTTTGCTACTCTTGCTTTCACTAATGAGGCATCTCACTTAGATTCTCAAATCTCAATCACCTTACTAGGACCTTGCTCTTCTTGGCACTCTCAAGGGTGTTTCTCAGCTGTTGGAATGAGCAAAAGTGCCCCTCACACGAATGGAGGAAGTATTTATACACCCGAGTTCAAAACAAACCGTTATGTGCCTCTACTGGGTGACCGGACACTCGGTCAAATTGACCGGATGCTCCGGTCAGTTCTCCCCGAAATCCAGTGTTTAAGTTGTGACCGGACGTAGGACAACGTCCGGTAGCACTGACCGAACGCGCCCGGTCACAATTTTCCCTCTCTGGAACCTTACTGGAGTCGATCGGACGCTGGCCCCCAGCGTCCGATCACTCACCTCTCAGCGTCCGGTCGCGCCAGACGATTTCACCTTGATCAAATGAACTGATCGGACTCTGCGCCAGCGTCCGGTCACACCGGAACCAGCGTCCGGTCAGCATTTGGCCCTCCATTCACTTCCAACTCTCAATCATATGTGAATGAAGTTTGCTCCAATTGATCTAAGGGCAGTTTTGGAGCTACCTAGTTCTAGTTTTGAGAAGTGCGCACCACACCTAACCCACTAGACTCACCTAGGTCAAGCTACCCGTTCATACCCCCCTTAATAGTTCGGCCAAAGGAAAAACAAAGCCCTAAACTACTCTAAGTGTCTCTTCAACACCAAATGACACTTAGAACTAGTCTATCCTTAACCTTGTCGTCCATCCTTTGAAAACCGAAATGATTTCCATCATAGGGGCATGACAACCATGATTGCCCAATCAATTGCCATTACCGTGACCTAACTTAATTGCCTCTGCAAAACACACGTTAGTCACAGTAATCACGTATTGTCATTAATCACCAAAACCCCATTAGGGGCCAAGATGCTTTCACGCGTGACACACAACGCGTACATCCAGTTATGGCAGAACAGGGACTAGCAGCCGGTCCATGCGGGTCCCCCACACGACCAGCACACCTTCGATGAGTACCTACGGTGGCTTCATAGGTCTACGAGGACACATATCAAGCCCCCATACACTGAGGAGGTGATTGACGAGGACTCAGAGGAAGATGTGATCGAAGATGTGTACGACGTTGCCACTAGGGACGACACACAACTACAGAGAGCCCCGCTTCAAAGATACGTGGTAAGATACTCGAATGGTACAATTTGTTATCCATTTGGTATTAAGTATGTGTACTAAAACTGTCCAACCGCGTTTCTGTACCCAGGCGACACAATTGTCAAGGATGTTCAATGAAGAAGCGTTTTGGCTTCATGAGTCTAGAAGGCTGGGGTCAGGCGTTCTCGAGGCTTTTGTGGAGGTAAACATAAACTTATCCGTTCTGAAAATGTTTCTTTAGTGTATATGCGTTTAGGAAATGCACTAACTTTAACGTCTATTTATGCAGAAGGTGAAGCGGAGTTGTAGGAAGCTAGCTCAGAAGCTGAGCTGCATGGACACTCCTTGGGTGGAACCGATAGTCCCGGCGCGGTCGGGTGTCATGTCTTCTGGCTCTTTAAGGACACCAGCCGGCTCTTCTCAACCGGTGACAGGTGCCACTTCCGCAGTACGTACACCACCACATCATAGCGCTGGGAAGGACCCTGCAAACGAGGACGACGATGACGACGACGACGACCCCCGGGCTTTCGCAGACAGCACCACTAATGGGACGATTGGCTGCAGGACGAGATCGGCATGTCTCAGCTAGGTGGTGCCCCGCTTGGTACCCAAGGAGCCTCACAGGTAGTAACAAAGGTAGTTTCTTTAAATACGTCGGCTCCATGAACTAACGATCATAAAGATTATAAGTAATCGTGCATATCATATACTTGCAGGGTACGAGCCGTACGCATCGGCAACGCGACCACACCGACGTTGGCTACACTCCTAATGTGTTGCCAACAAATCCGAAGAGACAGAGGCGTTCAAGTGATCCTTACACTCCTGGGTCTTAGTTTATTAGGTCGAACGAATATTATCGTCCAAAACTTGCAGACTTAGTTGGTTATGTTATGTCGAACTTATGTCGAACCAATAAAAATGTTATGGCGTATCTCGTCGTCGGTGGCCGACGTCTTGACCCCGATCCTCCCGAGCTTAGTCATCGCCGCCACGAAATCGCCGAAGAAGACGCCCTGGTTGGACGCGCAGTAGTCGACCGTGCTGCACCTGGTCGGAGCCCATCGGCGAGGGGTCGAGGAAGGCGAAGGCGTTGGGGTCGGAGCTGCAGGTGTCATTCAGCTGCGACGCGAAGCCGGGGTCCATGGTTGCGTCACTGCCGATCCTCACCGACAACAGCCGATCTTCTGTCTGCGTCTCCAGGTCCTGCCGCGCCGTGGCCTATGGCGCGTCAGTGCCGCGCCAAGATCGGTGGCGCGACAGACCCTGCCACGTCACCGATCAGCAGCTCAGGTCGTCGCCACGTCATCCTCTTGCCGCGCCACCATGCATGGCGTGGCACAGGCGTTTCGCCGCGCCATGGCAATAGGCGCGGCCAAAAGTATTAGTTTTGAAAAAAAATCAGTGTTAGATGTAAAATTGGTTAAAAAAATGTTAAAATTAAAAAAAATTCTCGGAGGCAGGCTCCATCACACTGATTAGGGCGCAACCGGTGAAATTATTTGTGCTCTCGACCTCTTGTTATCAGGCTAGCGCTTGGTGATAGATAGCACGAAGGGGACGTGCGCATGGGCTTCACCTGGTGTTGTTGAGCTCAGTGAGATCAGATCAACCAAGCCCTCCCTGTGACCCTGTCTCCCGCCTCTAGCCCTCTACTCTGTGCTCTCCCCGCTCTCTCTCCAGTTTCCACTTTCCATCACTTCCCTGTGTCTGTTGTAACGAAACCGATGTGCAAGGATGACCTCAGTGTGCATGATTAGTAGGAAAAAGTTCATTTCACTTGTTAAATTATAGTTGTAGTTTGATTTGATATCTAAACGTTTTTTTTTGCGAAAGGATATCTAAACGTATTTTAAAAACCTTTCACAGCAAAAAAGCATAAGACACAATCAGCACTGAGGCATTTGCATTCATGGTGGTTGCATCTTATATTTTTGCAATGTGAAATTTTAAAAACACATTTATACATCAATTATAAGGTTTAAAATTTTCTTTAGATTTTCCTTGATATTTTTTTTGTTATCCTAGGGCTAAATCTAGTTGTTTGAAGCTTCTATATATATACTCTAATGAGGTCTAAATATTTTACTTGGATCCTTCATATCCTAGTCTATCTCTGTGTTTTTCGTAATTTATAGAAGGTTAAGTATTTACCAATTCTTTAATTAAAAAAAAGATAAAACCACATTCAATACCACTTCAAACTAAGACAAGAGGTAATTTAAATGGTTTTAAGAATATCAGGTTTTGAAGTCTGAGAAAAAAAATTAGACTACAACGATAGTTCTGTGAAATAAAATGTACTTTTTCGACAAGTAAGTAATTAATGGAGTGATGAAACGTCGAGGATTGTAAGTTGGCCTTCTTGAAGGTCAGCCGCCTCAGCCCAAGACTCAACACTGGCCCAAACTTTGCAAGCCCGCTTTGCGACTCACTCGTGGTAGGAAAATCAGCAGCGGACCGAATATCGCAGCTGCCCAAGTGACATGGGCTCAAATCTGAAGAAAAACAATCGAGAGAACTTTGGACATGCAAGCCCACTAGCGGTTCGGCTCGGCCAGAACATTCGACGGTGACCCCGTCCGGTGGCTCCGCTTCCTCCCCGACCGACTCCTTCCTTCTCCCCATCTCCCTTCACCTCTTCTGACCTCCGGCAGCACGCCAGCACCATGGAGAACACCGCCGCGAACCCTTCCGCTGCGGCCGCTGCCGCCGCCGCCGCTGCGGCAGGGAACGGCGTCCAAGCATCGGGGACCGGAGGGGAGCGCCCGGAGGACGCGTCGAAGCAGAACCTGGCGCAGGTGACGAGCTCGATCCAGAAGACGCTGGGCCTGCTCCACCAGCTCAACCTCACAGTCTCCTCCTTCAACTCTGCCTCCCAGCTCCCCCTCCTCCAGCGCCTGTGTGTTGCCTGAGATCACTCTATTCAGTTCCGCCCTGTCCTGCGGGCTGCGGCTTTGCCTCGCGCTTCTGTGTGTGGGGGCCGTAACTCTTAGAGTTTGCGTTGCTGTTGACTGTTGCGTGCGTCGTGGCTCAGGAATGCGCTCGTGGCCGAGCTCGACACGATGCAGAAACTCGCCGAGGGGTGCAACATCCAGGTGCCCATGGAGGTCGTCAAGTGAGATCCTCGGTTTCATAGCTTCACTCATCTTGACCTGTGCTATTGTACGGTTATAAATGGTTCGTGTGCTGTTAGTTTGATCGACGATGGGAAGAACCCCGACGAGTTCACTAGGGACGTGCTCAACAGCTGCATCGCCAAGAACCAGATCACGAAGGGCAAGACTGACGCTTTCAAGGTATGGATGCATTGGATCCTCTCAATCATTGCAGAGATTGGTTGACATGGAGCTGCTGGGTAGAATTAGGATTGTATATACACATTTACATGCGATGTAGACAATTTTGTACTAGGAGTTAGCTGTGGAGCCACGGAGCTGTTCAGCTGCCTGACTTTCAATTAATGACGATTCTGTGCCTTGTTTTTGTTTTGTTACAAGTTACAATTCTTTGTCAGATAAGGAAGATTAGATCGTTCCATGCTATTCAAAACCCATGTTTCTTGTAATGAGTAATGTGCATCACTACAATTGCCTAAGTGTTTTTTTTGTTGTTGTCTGGAATCATGCTTATGTTGCTTACTTGCTCGCGATATAAGAAATTACTAGTGTCAGGGAATACAGATATGTGTTCCTGTCATGGTCTCTTGGATTTCAGCAGCACAGGTCTTTCTTTATCTTATTTGTAGATTGCCATTAGAAACCACCTATTTGATCCTGCTGAAATTTTTTACAGTTTCCTGTCTCTCTTTTGCCTTCTTCGAAAAGAAGCAGTCTGTCAGTTGTTAAAAACCATAATCATTTTTTGTCAGTTGTCCAGCCTTTTTTCATGACTTCATATAATCTTCTCTAATTAAATTTAGGTGAAAAATGCCTCAAAAGTTTCTGTAGTACAGTACTGCTCATGCTGTAGCAGACATTACATTATCTTTGTTTATTACTTATTGATTTAGATATATGGAAATTCTTACGTGAAACTAAGTATATCATTTGTGCAAGGCATATGTGGCTGCAGCCCGCAAGGTCCTGGTTTGTTTAACCTTATGGTTATCAGTCATACAAACAGTTATAAATTGATCGGTGGACTTTTTGGCAATCACATGGGCACTGTTTTACGTGAACACTGCATTATCTATAACTAAATTAGCAACTCTATTTTTTTCCGTGTTCGATCTGGGGGTTAATTCACTTTTGTTGCATCTGATTATAAAAAATATGAATTTGCTTCATTGTAAGTTGGTTTATTTCAGAGCCTACGGAAACATCTTCTTGAGGAGCTTGAACAAGCTTTCCCTGAGGACGTAGAAGCATACAGGGAGATACGTGCTACTTCTGCTGCTGTAAGTGGACACACGATTGGCCTTGTCTGATATTTCTATAGCATCCAAACATTATGTACTTTTCTGTTTATCGAGCCTAATAAAAATTTCGCCATTGTTGATAAAATGATATCTCTGGCTTAATTTAGGGACGAAACCAACCTATATATATGTCATGGCCAGTGCCCATGATGGGATAGACACCACCAGGAAGATGGCCTGGTGGAGTCGGTGCGAAGTCTAGATTATAGATGAGAGGGACGAACACAAGATTGGAACTAGATTGATTGTTTCTTGCTTGCCTTGAGTGATACATCTCATCTCCTTACATAGAGAGGATTACTTGACTCCTAAGGAATAGATCCAATGTACTACTAACAAATTTGATCATATCTCTAACTTAACCCTAAACCTGAGGGAGGTGTGCTACAGTTCATGGCCCAGCCCAACGGGCCCAGATTGCTGCTGATAACATTATACACCTTTAACTATAAGTTGCCTTTTTAAAAACTATGCTGCTTAATTTAGGGGTCGTTTGGTATCTCCCAGCTCCAGCTTTTCCCTAAGAATTGCTTCTAGTCAGCCAAATGGTAAAAAATGAGCTGCTCCATACGTGAATCGATTCCTCATTTTGTACTAGCACCTGGAAGCCCAGAAAACCTGCTCCCCATGGATTCACGTCTGCTCTCCACCCTTGTCATTAGAGACCTACGGAACACGTTGAAGGATATTTACCCACACTTGCCAATGGTAGAAATGCCAGCAAGCACCCCTTCCGCACAGATTTATCCTCACTGTGCCGCTTGGAGAAAGTCCAAGCAGTCGTCTCCATGTGAGGGCGATTCGCGGTTGGGCGCCACCACGCCGCCAGTCAGACCGGGAGTGACGCTGGCTGTCCACACGGGGACTGCGCCGCCAACGCTCCTCTCCAGGCGCCCGCACTCCCTCCCAACGCATCAGCCCCAGTGGCCATCCCTGACCAGGTCCAGCGCCGGCTGTTCATTCCTCAGATTCACCGGCACACCCCTCCCCAGGAGTGCCTTCATCCCTTTCCTGCAGACTAATCCTCGATAGCCCCTTCCTACAGATTGAGACCTGGCGACTCCCTTCCACAGGCCAAGATCTTCTGTCCAAGCCGCACTGCTCCACTCGTCCAGGCTGGATGACTATGTATGAGCTTTGGAAAAGCATATTCTTTTGGGATGTATTTTATCTCTTAGGATAATCCATTGATCTAATTCTCTAACTCATGTACAGTATGGTTCATGATCTCATGTTACTGTATGAAGAGTTCAAGACTATGACTACTCCCTCCGTCCTATAATATAGTGCATTCTAAAAATTTTAAGACAACTTAAGGGAACACTCAATTGACGCATGTACCCATGGATTATTCCAATTTAGGAGTTTCTCCTCAAATCATGGTTTCTTTTTTAACAAACTTTACCAAATCTAGACATAGTCATTACTTAGAATGCATTTCAGTACAAATTTTAGAATCACAGTGCACTATATTTCAGGACGGAGGGAGTATGAGCTAACTCAATTTGATCTGATAAATACACCACTATGCACATGTAGTTTGTAAAAACTGAGTTTTTCATATTAATTGTACTTATGGAAATATGATAATTGTGCTATACAGACAGTTAAGGGTACTATGGACAATTCCAGCACAATCCTCTCTTTCAGGAATCACTTCACAGTTAGCTTGCCAAATGATTTTATCAGACACAATCACTTCTACCAGAGAATCACTCCACCTGAGAATCAGGGAGTGGAAGCCCTGCTAAACAGGCCCATAACTGGCACCAAATTTACTTCTTTATATTAAACTTCTATTTTAACTTTATATGTTCAAGCATGTTCCAGTGAGTTTAAATGTTGGCAGGGGCAAATTTGTAGGTGAATTTAAAAGCTATTTTAAGTTTATAGGACCAATTTGTGTTCATGCATTCACTTTGAAGTCTAATGGTGAATTTGCCCTCATTTTTTTGGACTTGGTGATTTTGCCCCTAGTTTTCAAAACAAAGGCAGAGTATACCCCTCTTCCGTTAAGGGGGTTTAACAGTGTCAATTGAAGTGTAAAAACTAAAAAAGACTAGTTTGCCCATGCGAATTTGCCCCTTCTTTTCTAAGTACTCAGTGATTTTACCCCCATTTTAACATATAATGTTTGGCTTGTACTCTGGCAGATATGTAAAGAGTTCTGACAAGAAGACTCGACAAAATCTGCATACATTTCAAATCTGTGCAAATTTTGACAGCAGTATTACACAATTACTCATAATGCTTTGGGTCATTTCTCAAATTCTGAATGTTTATATATCAGACGGGTGTCTTGTGACTGCTCCTTGGAGTGGACTTTCTTATCACACCATGTTTGTAGTGTGCCCAGAACAGTGTTGATATCTATCTATCTATCTATCTGGATATTTTCTTTAGTGTCTTCTAAGAATCATTTAACAAATGATTAAAAAGATAATAAATGTTATGCAAGTACTACCTGGATCATTTATCCATTTCCTGTTATTTTGACTGTCCATTTCCCATTAGTAATAGGCAGTGTTGTAGGGTTTGCCCTATGTGTCTTTATTTCTCGGCATACTGTTTCAAATACTATACCTTCCATTTTGAGCTGTAGTCGTTTCAGTTTTGTCGCAAGTCCAAATTTTCTAACTTTGACCAAGTTTATAGATAATATATATTAACACCTACAATATCAAATAAATCCACTATCAAAATATATTTCATGGTGTAGCTAATGAATCTTGTTTGACGTTGTAGATGTTTCCGCATTTTTCTATAAACTTGGTCAAAGCTAGAGAAGTTTGACTTAGGACAAAGCTAAAACTTCTCACAATTTGGAACTGAGGGAGTAATTAGAACCGTCGTGTGCATAAGAACATATGCATAAAACATGCATGATCAATTTTGAACCAAGTAATTCTTTTGTATTAGGTAAAAGCATGCCTTTACTCAACCGGTAGCAACATAACAATGAACAGGTCTTTAGGTTGTTTGTTTGATGTACTAGGTAAAATCTTCTTGTAACATTTAATGGATCAGAATCTGCAGGCAAAATTCAGTTAAGTTTTGCATTATGGTGTCAAGGGCGTCGAGGGGTAGGGTAGGCGCACCCCGGCTACGTAGTTCGTAGCCGTGATCCGTGTTGGGGCAAGGTTTTACCCCTCAGCGCCCGTTCTGTTGAGAGGGGAAGAAGGAGAAGTAATTGTTCTTGCTTGATCCCAAAATGATGGATTACAAGGACTCTTATAGGCTATAGCCTTAACAGACTCTAACAAATCACTCCTAAATTAGAGGCCTTCTTTCCTTTATTCTAGCCATTCCCTTGATTGGCTTCCCTTTATTCTAGCCACTTCCTAAACCGACCCTGCTACCGATGCTGCCGATGCATGCCATGCTTGGCGCGTCATCTGGCCTTGGCTTTGCCGCACGCCTGGCATCCGGGCCCTTTTATTCCTGGCATATGTGTGTCCCCACATGACATCTCTCCCCCCGTCGAGGAGCAGCTCGTCCTCGAGCTGGAAGTCCGGATACTTGGCGGTGAAAGCCTCGACGTCTTCCCATGTAGCCGACTCGCCCTTCCACTGGACAAGGACCTGGCGCACACCGCGCGCCAATCGTGCCCGCATGGCCCGCTCCGGCTCTGGAACCGACGCACCATGGTGGATGGGGGGCAGCGGTGGTGGAGCATCCGGAGGCGGCCCGCGGAACTTCTTGAGGAGACCAATGTGGAACACATCGTGCAGCCGAGCGCGAGGCGGAAGGGCCAAGCGGACAGCGACGTCATTGATGAGTTCGACGACGCGGTAGGGCCCGAAGTAGCGCGGCTTGAGCTTGCCAGTGACCGCCTAGGGACTGGACGATGCAGCCCACTGACGAAGACGAAGGAGGGCCCAATCGCCCACCTGATACGCGACATGACGGTGGAGCTTGTCGTAGTGCTTCTTCTGGACCGCCTGTGCCTGCTCCAGGCGATAGCGGATGTCCGCCAGGAACTCGTCACGCTCCTCCATGTTCCTGGCGACGGCGGCCACCCGTGTGTCCCCCGGCTCATAAGACTGGATGGTTGGAGGATCACGGCCGTAGACGACACGGAACGGCGTGTCCCGCAGCGAGGACTGGTAGGCGGTGTTGTAGACATACTCCGCCCATGGCAACCAGCGTAGCCAATGTCGAGGGCGATCGCCGGTGAGGCAGCGCAGGTACATGACGATGACGCGGTTGGCAGCTTTTGACTGGCCGTCGGACTGAGGGTGGAAAGCCGAGGTCATGTGGAGTTTGGCACCCATCAGGCGCATGAGCTCTCGCCAGAACGTCGAGGTGAAGACCGGATCGCGGTCAGACACCATGGACTAGGGAACGCCGTGAAGCCGCACGATGTCGGTGAAGAAGGCTTGCGCGACGGACTCGGCGGAGTACGGGTGCGCCAGTGGAATAAAGTGGCAGTACTTGCTGAACCTGTCCACCACCGTCAAGATGACGGACTTGCCACGGACGCGCGGCAATGCTTCCACGAAGTCGAGCGCGATGTCCGTCCAGACACCCTGGGGAACTGGCAGGGGAAGTAGTAGTCCTGCCGGGTGGAGGTGCTCCGATTTGTACCTCTGACATGTCACGCACGAGTGCACAAGGTCCTGCACCAGCTGTCGCATGTTAGGAAAATGAAAGTCGCATCGAAGGCGATGTAGTGTGCGCTGGACCCCTTCATGCCCGTCCTCGTGCACGGCCACCATGATCTCCTGGACGAGCGGGGACGCCGGGGGAATGTAGAGGCGGCCACCGAACTAGACCATGCCGTCGACGAGCGTCCATGGTGCGCCGCGGGAGCCTGCACGGAGCTCGCCCCGTATGGCGACGAGGGCAGGGTCGGTGTCCTGCGCTTGACGGAGGCGCGTGATGAAGTCGAAACACGGGACGGAGATGGCGACAAGGACCCCCTCGTCCGTGTCGCGGCGAGACAAGGCGTCCGCCACCACGTTCGCCGCGCCCGGTTT